GAATTTCCAAATAAAGATTAAAATGGGACACCCGGTATATATATTCAGATGTTGAATCAACACTATTTGTTCGCAAATTGAGTGTTTCGATACGATTTCAGTCAGGGCTCTTGAGGGCTCTTATAATTCTTTCGATACATAAATAGCTATTGTGAAATATGAATGTGATATAATCATTGAATGAGCATCGATATAAAGGTGTTAATGGGCATCCTTTTGGAGTTTTTAGTATCTTGAACTAAAACAAAATCTGCCAAGCTCAAATCGAGGAAAAATAATATCAGTCAATCTCAATCGAATCCCGGTTAGGTCAAGATCACACCGTCGAACTAACTTGCTGGACACAAGAAACCGAATCGCTGGTTTTAATTGCATGCTATGTAAAGTGGTATGCATGCTCTTGAATGATTATATTCGAAATTGAAATTGACCGTCATCATCATCATCATCATCATCATCATCATCATCATCATCACCATCATCATAGTTTGAATTCTAATTGTTGTGATAAGGGGACAAAATCTCAGGTTTGTCGACAAACATAAGAATAAAAGAACCCATCGCCACGTATGCGTACCATTAAACTGAAATGCCGGTATATAGATTTCATTGTGTGAAAAATACTTGAGCTTTCTGTATTCATTCAACGTTTCATTCCATTTCGAGCATTGTGGCAATTTCGTATTGTAGAAATTACGCCAATCCGGCAACCAGTCACTCCCGTATGGAAATTTTGCCTGCCCTTCTTTTCTACCCAGATGGCATTGCTCTCATATTGTCTATGAAGGACGCCTCTGAAAGGAATATAATGACGACTTTATTTTTGTTAGACAAGACTACGCTTAGTCGGCGGTCTTAGAACTGCTGGCTGGAGACTGCCCTGCACTGATGAGAGTCAAAGAGCTCGAAACTGGTTTGTGAAAATCTAGCGTGGTCTGGCTAAATCGAAATCAATGGGCATTCGGGAAAAAATCACTTATATCAGAATTCGTCTATACGAGTCAATGCATAGATTTCGAGAGGATGTAATTCAATGTTCTGCGTGATATTAACCAGGAGAGTAGTTGTTTTTCTCTCAAAATCTACTATTGTTGTTCATTTTATGAACATTGTGTGGTAATGAATTTGAGCCTTCGTATTTATCCGAAATTTAATTCCACTTCGAGCATTGTTATCAAACCAGTCGGGCAACCAGCCACTTCCATATGGGAATATTTGTCATGGAGTGTTTCTTCCTTCATTCCTACTCAGATGGCGTTCTTCTCATATTGTCTATGAAGGCGCCTCTGGGAGAATATAATATCGACTTATTGATTTCTGTTTGACTACGATACGCTTAGTCGGCAGTCTCCACTGCATAAGCACTGCACTGATGAGCATCAAATGGCTCGAGACCAGCCTGTGAGTGTCTAGCGTGGCCTGGTTGAATCGAAATCAATAGGCATTCGGGAAAGAATCACTTGTATCAGTATTCGTTTATACGAGTCGATGCATAGATTTCAGGAGGATATAATTCAATGTTCTGCGTGGCATCAGCCAGAAAAGTAGTTTTTTCCCTCTCAAAATCTACCAATGTTGTTAATTTCATGAACATTGCGTGGAAATGAATTTGAGCTTTCCGTATTTATTCAATATTTCATTTCACTTCGAGCATTATTGTGGCTATTTTGTAGTTTTAATATACAGGTTAAATCTCTATTCATAAGATTCATACTGAATGGTACTCATTAATGATGACAAGTGGATGTCATATAAGTGAATGAAAGAATTCATAATGAGTTTGATTTGGACCATTACAACCTCCCTTTCCTTTGGAAGAACGTTGTGCGCACAGGAAGGAATTCTGTAATGCATCTATCGGGTTTAGGTGAAAAATATCACCTCAAGATTGTGCGGCTGCTGGACTCACCTAATCATCATGTGTATTAGTTTCATTTCCATCTAATTTAGAGGACGACGATTCCACTGGTGTTCGAGGATTCTGGATTTTGCAGCCTCTGAATGTTATTTAGATGGCCTTAATTTTGAGAAAAAATGGACGCCACTTGGCGTCAAAATACTACTCTTTCCCTTCTTCATTGAGAACAAAATTGTGTGAATCGCTCAAAGAGTTGAAAATTCATGAGGTTGGACCGCTCTCAAACAGGTCACTCTGTTGGTACTCGAAAATTGGGCAACTCAGATTTTCGTGTCTGTTTTTTTCACACGGTTATTATTATTATTCACGGAAAACGGTTGAACAGTTGACGAAAGTATTTCCTGGAATCTTCATTTATGTAACTATTGTGGGTATTTGTTTCTTCAATTCAAGAAAACCATGTTCAATCGAATAATAAAGGATTCCACACATCGGAGAAATTGATATACTTATGTTTGAGCTTGCAATAATCATTTATTTTACTTGGCAGAAAAGTACAAGATTCAATGTCGCGGCTGGCGTTTCATAGCCTAGGCGTACATACAAGGCATTACATCTTTTTTTGCAAGGTAAAATATATAAGTCTTCTCCAAATTCTATCAATTTGACGCAAAGTCCAAATAATCCATCATTTTTTGTTCACCCAAAGTCATTGTCAATTTCGATCACCAATTTGATTCAAATTACTTGGAACGTTGCATATCAACGAATTTTTCCTGCCTAGGCAGTAGAAGTACACCTTATTTGTCAGTTGAGTGTCATTGAAAATCCACTCCCAATGTCATTTGGAGAAAATAGTTATTTGTTTTACTAGGCAAAAAACTTGTAGATTGACTGCTGCTGCTGATAGTCTATAGCCGAGGGTAGCGAAGCTTGGAATTCAGCCAAGGCAGTCAATCTACATTTGCTGCCTTGTGAGACATAGAACTTTTTCTTCAAATGAAATGGAACCAATTTTGTGTAATTTTTTTATTGAAAACACCATCATTTTGTGTTTGTGCACTCGATGTCAGTGTCAATTTTGATTACTTATTTCATTAGAATTCCTTGAAACATCGCATTGCAACAAATTTGTACTGCCTAGGTAGTGAAAGTACACTTTTCCTGCCTCTTAAGCGGCAGGAAGAAGCCACTATTCCTGCCGCTTGGAGAAAATAGTTATTTATGCAACAAGTGCAAAAAGTGAATGTTTATTGCATTCGACGTGAAATTGTCCAACGAGGCCGTTAGGCCGAGTTGGACAACACGTCGAGTGCAATAAACAATTTTTGCACGAGTTGCATACAACATTTTTTCTACGTTCATGCAAAAAGCAAAAAATGATTTATCGAGGTGCGGCACTAGGTACAATTCTGTTAATTGTCAGAATTGATTTTTGACTGACGTTTCTATAATCACAGTTGCATTATAGAAAATGTTTGTCATGATGACAGCACGTTGAAGTAGAATGACAGATGCAATAAAGAACTTCTTTTTCCACTAAATATAGTTCAATAAAGTTCTGCTTTTTGCATGAATGTAGAAAATAGTTATTTATGCAACAAGTGCAAAAAGTGAATGTTTATTGCATTCGACGTAAATTGTCCGACGAGGCCGTTAGGCCGAGTTGGACAACACGTCGAGTGCAATAAACAATTTTTGCACGAGTTGCATACAAAATTTTTTCTACGTTCATGCAAAAAGCAAAAAATGATTTATTGAGGTGCGTCACTAGGTACAATTCTGTTGATTGTCAGAATTAATTTTTGACTGACGTTTCTTTAACCACAGTTGCATTATAGAAAATGTTTGTCATGATGACAGCACGTTGAAGTAGAATGACAGATGAGTGCAATAAAAATTTTATTGCACTAAGTGCAATAAAGAACTTCTTTTTTCAGTAAATATAGTTCAATAAAGTTTTGTTTTTCGCATGAATGTAGAAAAACGTTATTGGTGACCTAAAATACCAAATATGTCGAAACGTTCAGGATTTATGTTGAAGACATTATGTAAAATATTACCAGTATCATCCGTTAAATCTGAAAATGGAACAGTACATAGGGTATCCTTTTCAGAATAAGCAACTTGACTTCTACTCTCGGTAAAACCAGAAGTTCCTTTATCTTGGAAATATTTCAGCCAAATCTCCCTGATCGACAGTGGTATGCCACCTTAGTTTCAAATCCTTCCTGATGCCTATAATTTCCTATATGTCAATCGATTCAGTTCCCATGAAGGCAGCCTGTATGAACTGAAAGCTCACTGTAGATATTCAGCCTCATTTCTAGCACTAACAGACAGTTCCTGGCAGATAGTAAATATAAACCTCTGTACCTCACACTTTCCCAAAATTTTTTTTCTGTGACGGCAAAAAATTTTTGCATTTCATCTCTATTGGCAGGTTATAAAATGTCACTTTTCATGAATTATTTTTTCCCGTGGGAAAAAAGTGAGTACTTTCATCGCGGATATATTATATCACATTTATATACACTGTTGATGGCTTTTGTTGTGCTATAGTTCCGAAAAATGAGTACATGACACCGTCTCCGAAAAAGAACTGCAAGTCCTTTTATCTTCCATTCGACTTCGCGGTCACGTATATTACTAACACATTACTGAACAACCACTGAATTCACAATTTTTTGAAATCAAATCTCAGAATTAGACTGACAAAAGTGACATCAGATATTTGATAACTTCAGAAGAATGTTAAAGATACCTACAACGCAGGTATCCCTACTTTCAAAAACTTAGAACGTCGATAATTTCCAGATTTCAAAATGATGTAATATCTTCTCAATATTGATTCGTCCTTTCTGCTGTCACAGAAAAAAATAGTGTATTATACACGGAAAAAATATTATATTTTAGCTCACGGTTTTTTGTCTCCCTCCGCTACGCGTCGGGAAACAACACAACCTGGAACTGAAATCTACTACTTTTTCTCCTTAAATAATAAATAACTACTTGATTTGTTCACAGAAAACCCTCAGAATCTCTCAGCTTTCAGATTCTTGGTCTCTCAGTGGTATATGTTTGAGCTGATGATTCAATTATCTCAATGACCATGTCATGATGTGAAATGAAAATCTGCTTTTTTTTCCAGGAGGAAAAATTCCGCAGGATCGAACTATAATCAGAAGGGTTTTGAGGACAATTTCGCTGCCACTGTTTGTCTGCATGTGTATCCTCTCCAGTGTTGGAATCATCGTAGCTACTTTATTGGTAGCATTCAATATATGGAATAAACACAGGCGGTGAGGAAGTAGTATATCATGTTTCGTTCAATAGAGTGTTATTCATCTATACCTTTTCAACTTCAGTTTCAGAATCGGTAAGTTATATTTCGGCAAAGGTAAACTTGGTTTCAGAAATGGTTGACAAAATCCTAGTATCGAAGAGTTCAATTTCAGAAAATGTCCATTCAATTTCAGACATGGTAAGTTATATTTCAGAATTGGTTAGTTCAATTTCAGAAAGAGGAGTTTAACTTGAAATAAATAATCCTGATTACACATTCACTATCGTGAATTGAATAAGTCTCTGTATGAATCTTAGTTCATAGGATATTGATCGTGCGTTTAAAATGGGCATCCTACAGATAACATAGAGGTAGTTCTATATAGATGATGCATCTGCACATTCAAGAATAAATAGAGGAGATTTTCATGAAGAAAGGATTTCAAGATGTTCTTATTTGCAGAATGGCACATTACAGCCCCCAATGTTGAACCAAATAATCCAACATATTATGGAATACCTTCAAGTCAGAAGTGAAGAGCTTCTTGCCAGAGCATCACCGAAGGGTCATAGCCGAAAATCCAATCAGATTTCTTAACCAGATAGAATTCAGACTGGGATGTCTTGAAGATTTGTCAGGTCATTTAATGAGAACATATACCTCATAAGTGTTTGAATTCTCTCAAATCATGTGCAACGCCACTTTCCTTCTGGGATCCGAATATAAGACATGTCTGTATAGATTGATTGGAGATTAAGTTCATATAGTATATGTTATCCAATGGTTTTTGAGAATTCAACACCTTGAATGCCATTGTCCAGTATACTGGACATACGAGATCTTCACACGTATACCGCGTCCACTTAACTGGACGCGTTTAAACAGCGAGTATATCCACCATCTTTTAGTGTCGGACCACGAAGTTGGTTTCATATGTATAGTACGGGATATATTAAAGGATTTCTCCATTTGTTCTCGCGATTTGGATGAAAAAGTCAGAATAATTGTGGCATGTGTTTGCAATTTCTTCTTCGCGCATTTGGTCATGATAATTGGCTGATTTTAGTCTCATCATTATCCAAAGCGAATTTTGGTGTACGTTGAGGAGGAGTTTTTTGTGAAAAAGTGTAAAGTTTAGTAATTTTCCTGACATATCCACGAGTAATAATGACGCAAAAGCCCAAGGTAAGGCGTGCTCAATTTCTGTTGAAATGTCCGAATGATAAGTAGGTACTTTGCATAATCATTCGATGGTTGAAATTAAAGGAGAGGGAGCTACTAATGAGAAGATCAAACCTGCATGTGTCATTGATTATAATAAACACATGACAGGTATTGACCGCTCCGACCAAATTATGTATTATTCCACTCCAAGAAAAACCTTGAGGTGGTACCGCAAATTTGATTTCCATTTGTTGGATTTGTGTATGTAGAATTATTGAATATTGATTTTCTATATTTCATGACTCTGTATGTCTATTTTGTCAATGTGAGAAAAACCTGAAATTGGAACAAATGAAATTTGTTAGTGTAGTCAACGTTAATCAGTTGTTATATCTTAACGAGAAGTGTAAGACGTTATATTTTTCGCTGCTGATTAAACATCTATTTAACTCTCCGTCTGTGTTTGAAACCTACTTATTGTAACAGGTTATGGGCCCAGATATCGCTGGAACCTTGTGAAACACATTTTTGATATACGCAAATTGAATACGTTCGTCGTTTTGAATTCAGGATTCGTTTACCTGACGTGCGTTTGAAGTTGATAGCCGTTCAGCAGAGCGAAATGTCGGAGAAAGTCGACGTAGCAAACATCAATAAGTTTGATGGGAAAAACTAACAGCAGTGGAAGTTCCAGATGAAATGTGCTCTAAAAGCAAAAGGACTGTACGGACATGTGGATGGCACAATCCTTAGACCAACCATTATAGAAACATCGACTGCTAATGAAGTTCAAGAATTGGAGTCGTGGCTGAAAAAAGATGCACTTGCCATGTTCACGTTTACTGCTGCCTACCTTGATAGAAAACTGTGAATTCCCCAAGGAAGTGCTAGACAAGCTTGATTCCATCTATCAACAAAAGTCAGAATTGAATAAAATGTTGGTGCACGAACGATTCCATCAATACAAAATGGGCACAAATGATAGTATTGCACAGCATATATCAAAGGTTGAAAACCTCGCAAAGATGGTTAAGGAATCAGGTGAATCAATAAGTGACACAGCCATTATGACAAAAATACTAGGAACGTTGCCTTCGAAGTTCAGGAATCTGAGGCAAGCATGGTTGTCACTTGATGAGAAGAAGCAAACTATAGATAATTTGACAGCGCGCCTTTTGGATGAAGAAGCAAGTTTATCTGCTTATGAAGAAAATGAATTTGCTTTAGCAGCTATGTCATTGGAAACAGATAATGAAAGAAGACCAAGAAGATAGCAGGTCACTTGCTACAATTGTAGGAAGAGAGGTCACTTATCTAGAAATTGCAAAGAACCTCGAAGAAGCAATTCGAATAGAAATGCTAGCAGCAGTCAACACGAAGATGTACCACCTAGATTAGTAAACTCAGCTTCTATAGACCCTAACGAAACTGCATTCAACGTGGAGCACATCAATCAGTTTTCATTTGAAGATGATTACTGGATCATGGATAGTGGTGTCTCTGCACACATGACTTATCGCCGTGAATATTTTTCAAAGCTTGATGAAGAATGTTATTCAACTGTAGTACTTGGCAACAACGAAACCCTAAATGTACAGGGTGAAGGTACAGTGAAATTACAAAGACTAATTTATGGACAATGGTGTAATGGAACGATAAATGATGTTTTGTTTATCCCTCAACTGAGACGAAATCTATTTTCTGAGGGCGTTGTTGTCAGAAAAGGAATGAAAATTATCAAACAAGATAATCAGGCTGAAATTTACGATCAAGATACTTTAGTTGCTTGTGCTATTCAGGACAGCAATAATTTGTATAAAATGATGTTTCGTACATTGGTTTTAGCTGCAAATACAGTTTCCAGTCAAAGCCTCAGAGTTTGGCATGAGCGCCTTGGCCATGTGAATGTCAAGTCATTACGTGAAATGGTCAAGAAACAATTAGTTGCAGGAGCGAATTTCAGTGATATAGACAATTTCTTCTGTAAAGCATGTGCATTTGACAAGCAACACAAACTCCATTTCCAAGAAGCTGATCACGTGAAGATGTAACCAGGCCAGCGAATTTTCAGTGATCTATGTGGTCCAATGGCAACTCCCTCTGTACAAGGATCAAAATATTTTGTAGCCTTCAAGGATGATGGGTCAGGTTATCGTGTTGCTTACTTTATAAAGCATAAAGCAGATGTGTTTGATTGTCTAAAGACTTTTAACCTCAAATTGAAGAATAAATTTGGCAGTTCAATGAAAATACTACATGTTGACAATGGCACAAAATATTGTAATAAGGATACGAAAGACTATTTGGCTAAGGAAGGTATCGAAATGGAAACCACAGGATGGAACGAGATAACAGAACGATTGTTGAAAGTGCTCGTTCAATGATGTACAACATGAATCTTCCAAGATATTTGTGGGCAGAGGCTGTTAACACGGCAATATATCTTTTGAACCGAACTCCAACCAGTCAGACACCAAATAGTACTCCTTATGAAGTCTGGTGTGGCAAGAAACCGATACTTGAGCATGTTTAAATTTTTGGATGTGAAGCATACATGCATGTTCCTGATGAAAAACGGACTAAACTTCAACCAAAGAGTAAATAATTGATATTTGTCGGGTATGAGAATAACTCCACAAATTATAAATTATTCGATCCTTCGACAAGGAAGATCACAATATCAAAAAATGTTTTATTCAATGAACAGGTGAAAGTTGATATTCAAAAGCAAGATACTGTACAAATGCTTATTGACAGTGACGATGTCAGCATGACAGAAATTGCAGAAAACTTGCCAGATGAACAATTTCCAGTAGAGAATATTAGACAAATTGAACCTCCAGTTGATCTAGAAATTCCAAACCTTCGTCCACAGAGATTGGCATTCCAGAAACCTACGAAGAAGCTCTACAATGTGAAGATGCCGATAAATGGAGAGAAGCCATAACTGAGGAACTTGTTGCCCTGAGGAAGAATGGCACATGGGAAATTGTTTTCAAACCTATTCACAAGAAACCAATTGACTCCAGATGGGTGTTTCGAGTAAAACGTAAGCTTGATGGGACTGTTTTTCGTTATAAAGCTCGTTTATGTGCAAAAGGTTTTGCTCAAAAGGAAGGTGTAGATTACACAGAAATATTTGCACCGACAACAAGGTTTGATTCAATCAGGATGCTGTTAGCAGTAGCTGCACATAATAACTACAAAATTATGCAGTTTGACGTTAAAACTGCTTTTCTATATGGTGACCTGGAGGAAGAGATTCTCATGACAATCCCGAAAGGAATCAAAGCCGAACCAAATCAAGTATGTAAACTCAGAAAATCTTCATACGGCTTGAAACAAGCACCAAGGTGTTGGAATAGAAAGTTTGATACATTCTTGAAGGATTTGGGATTCAACCAAGGTGAAGCAGACAAGTGTGTATACCGAGGATATGTCAAGAATGTGGAAGTATTGCTGATGATTTATGTTGATGATGGACTCTTGATATCGGAAGAACAATCTGTCATTCGAACTGGGCTCAAGTTTCGTTTAGCTGAAATCAGTTATGGAAAAACTGTTGCCATGGCGACGTTCGTCATGGCAACGAGTAAACAAAAATCATATTCCTGTGGTGAGGAAATGGGTGGTTGTCAAGTTGTATCGGGTTTAGTATAGATGAAATCAGTTGTGAAAAAACTGTTGCCTTGGCAACGATCGTCATGATAACGAGTGAACAAAAACCCGATTTCCGTGGTGAGGAAATGCGTGGTGGTCAAATTGTATCAGGTTTAGTATAGCTGAAGTAAGTTATGGAAAAATGGAATATTCATTACGATGTACCGCGCAGGATATAGGAAGAGAGGCTAC